CTTTTGCTGAGTAAAGAATTACTTTACTAGCAAAATGTTTTTCTTTAACCGCTAAAAAACTACCAACTGGAAATAATACGCAAATCTACAGGTTATTAGAGTTCAGAGAAAGCGCGATTCAGAAAGCGCCATTCGCTATTAGACGAGGTCAGTCCACTACCTCCTAACTTTGATCGCGGATTCGCGCACTCTCCGAAATAGCAGGTTTTTCAGATCAGTGGACATGCTTTTTTCGGCCGCGCATTCTCCCCCTTCGCAAACCCTGAATTTACGGGACTGAAAGAAATTCACGCGTATAACCAAATGAATTTAAGAGCTACGAATAGGTGCGTCAGGAGTAGTGTTATAACAGGGCCACCTCAAACTTCCGCAACTTCATTCGTGAACCCACGCCTTTGCGGTACTATCGCTGAACACGAAAGATCCCGCCTTCTAATAGGGATGTCCTCGAAATTTCTCGGAGTACATGGGGAGGCACTGCACCGGCAAACTAGCGAAGTATTCCGTAAGTGGGCGATTTGGCGCACTGCAGAATTGCTACATTGAGTGGGAGACCTGTATGAATGACTCCGCTTGAAATCCCGTCGCGGTATGAGTTGACCTACACCCTATTTTTGCATGTACCGGTGATGAACCAAGCGATTTCTGCATTGCTTCCTATCGCATTAGAAAAAAATCAACTGAGCAGAGATCACCGTTCTCGGGAAAATAACGGAAAGTGTTTCAGTTCTTACCGGAGAAATTTCCTGTCTCTCAACCTGTCGCCGGAACTGCAAGGCACAATAAGTGACATTCGCAGCGCGCGCACCCTGATTCGTTGTAGGATGCTCGTATAGTGTGTCCTGCAGTGAGGAAAGCATAAAAAACTCCGTTATAATAGTCCTAATTTTAGTGAGTCTAGTTTTAAATACCTTGAAATCACAAAACTCACAAATCCGTAATAGTTGCTGTTGATCATAATGGGACTACGCTGACGCAAGTACACAAACTCCTCCCACCAATCGGTAACCTGAATTAACGAAATTGCATTGCCTTGGTGAATAGGCTTACAAAAAGAAAATTGCTGACATAATTAGTGCTGAGCCAAGATTTGAGCGTGAGGTATCTTTGCAAGCGACGTCCGACACCCTTACGGAAGACTTCCGTAAGATGTTCCAGCTCTGCAAACTCCTCGTCATTCAGAATTGGTTTCATTGAAAGCAGATGCTTAAAAGAATCATTACAAGAGTATATTAGTATGCAAGCATCAAAGGGTGAGCAAAGATAGCACATACCCTTTCCAAGGTTTCTTCCAGCGATGGAAGAGGCAGATGTGGTAGAGCTCCTTGGTATGAGTGAAGCATTGGTCCAGACATTGACATGAGTTTCAAAATGCCCTAAAGAGACAGTGAGATAGTAAGTATATCGTTGTGGCATTTCTTCTGGCCTTAACTATTGGATTATTAGATTAAACTATTAGATCTACTAACCTAGATTAAAAGGCTCCATTAGGCCCACATTTCGGCATCTTAGCCTTTGTCAGAGCTTAAAATGAACAAAAAACGGCGAAGGTGCCTAACATGGCTGCGTCATATTTTGCGTCAGCGTTTTGAGCGACTAAGAAAGTGTAGATATCGATCCTGCGTTTTTAGCGCACAACAGCGTTTTCAGCGACTGCCCGCGGA